CGCCGGGCCGGATGGGAGCCGCTAAGGGGAAAAGTTTCCGACGTCTGTGCACGCGGCGCGCGCACACCCTAATGTGTAATGGACGTGAACAACACATCTCGAAGAACAACAGTTACAGAAGGTAAGTAACCGTTCTTTCTCTCTCAGATGCCTTCCTATGATCATGGTTAGACAGCCTGCTGTACTCTTTCCCTCTGATTCCCCTAGTTTGCAAGGCTCTACTAAAGATCAAAAGGGACAAGGCGAAGGTTATCCTGGTCGACCCAGCATAGCCTCGCCAGCATTGATTGGGTATGCTCCTAGATCTCTGTCGCATCTCCATGGCTCCTCCCTCTCAGACCAGACATGATACCGCAGGATCATGGAAGGCTCCTTCATCCGAACCTCATAGGCCTACACTTGACAGCATAGCTGCTGCCTGGCTAAATCCAGAGGAGAGGGCATGCTCGGAGCTCAAAGCAGATCCATCAGGTTTTGCTAGGTAGCAGAATGCCCTCTACCAGAGGCCACCTATCTAGCCAGGTGGAAATGCTTCAGTTGCTGGATGGCCAAGTGGAGCCTTTGCCCAGCACAGGCCTCATAGAATAGAATCATAGAATATCAGAGTTGGAAGGGACCTCAGGAGGTCATCTAGTCCAACCCCCTGCTCAAAGCAGGACCAATCCCCAGACAGATTTTTGCCCCAGATCCCTAAATGGCCCCTTCAAGGATTGAACTCACAACCCTGGTTTTAGCACGCCAGTGCTCAAACCACTGAGCTATCCCTCCTTGCAGTTCATCTTAGAGTATCTCTAAGGTCTTTCATTGTCATCAATCAAGGTTCATTAGCAGTCATCTCAACGTTCCCACCCCCAATCCAAGACAACTTGGTCTTTGCCCAGGAGATGATGAGCAGGTTCATCAAGGAGTTGGAAAGGCGCTACCCACAGGTTCATGACCCAGTTCCACCTTGGGACTTAAACCTGATTTGGTCTAGGCCCTTGGCGTCCTGCTCCTTGCTACTTCTCTCGTGGAAGGCTGCTTTCCTGGTAGCAATCACTTCAGCCAGGAGAGTTTCTGAGTTGACCTTGGAGCCTCCCTATACAGTTTTCTTCAGAAATAAGGTCCAACAGTGTCCCCACCCAGCCTTTCTACCCAAGGTGGTGTCGCAGTTTCATGTCAACCAAGACATTTTCCTGCCTGTTTTCTTCCCGAAACTGCACAAGACAGGAGAGAAACGACGCTTACACTCCCTGAACGTTAGGAGGGCACTAGCCTTTTATATTGACAGGACAAGTCCCTTCCACAAATCTACGCAGTTTTTTGTTGCTATCACAGATAGAATAAAGGGTCTCCTGGAGTCATCCCAGAGGATCATCCTGGATCACAGCCTGTATCCAGGCCTTCTTTGAACAAGCAAAGCTCCGGCTATCATGAAGGCCCATTCTACGAGAGTGCAAGCATCTTCAGGAGCTTTCATGGCACACATTCTGATCCAGGACAGCTGCAGGGCTGTGACATGATCATCGGTTCACATGTTTGCGTCCCACTATGCCATCACCCAACTGGCCAGAGATGATGCCAATTTTGGAAGAGCTGTGTTATAGTTGGCATGCTCACGATTTCGTAGCCCATCTCCAAGGACACTGCTTGTGAGTCACCTGACATGGAATGGACAGGAGCAAGCACTCAATGAAGAAAAAACGATTACTAACTTTCCGTAACTACTGTTCTTCAAAATATGTTGCTCATGTCCATTCCATGACCTTCCCTTCTACCCCGCCATTGGAGTTGACGGCAAGAAGGAACTGAGAGGGCGAGGGGCTGGTGGCACCCTTATAGTGACACATGAGTGCAGGCCTCCAGGGGCAATAGAGCCGACCCTAACAATAACATTGTGGGAAAACTCTCCGGCAATGTTGCATGCAGCGCATGCACAACTGACATGACATGGAATGGACATGAGCAACACATCTCGAAGAACAAACATTATGAAAGGTAGGTAACTGTTTTTTGCAACCACTTGGGTAGATAGCACTGAGAAGTTCCCCCTGCATTAATGAACCTGCAAGGGGTCTAAGTAGAAAAATGAAGATAAGAAGGAGCAAGGCCCACCAATGCCTTCCAGCTCCTGCTGCAGACCCACCAATGGCCTTCTTGCTACAGTCCTGCCAAAGACTTCCATCCATCCCTCCCACGACTGCCTCCTCTCTCTCCTGCATTCAGAAGAAATTAAGTTAATCCGAAGGGATCCTGGTGGAGGAATCCTTTCCATCATCTTAACCTTATGCATGTGAATGAGAATCACTGCAGTTAAACATTTGACCCTAAGTACACAGTGATAGCATTGTTAGCCCAGTCTGTCTTGTGTTCTGGGGCTTCTAGGTGTCCCCTGTAGCTGCTTCCTCATATTTCTGTCTTGAAAATTTCTGATGCCCTCCCGCGGCAGCTCCTGGTAGTGCGATAGCTGTGCAGCCACTTGGCTGATGGAACTGCCCTGTGAGTCCACGCGCATGATCTGTGCACCATGCTGCAGTGGGTTACATCAATCTCATTGATGCAACGTGTGACCTTTTAGTCTGTGAGTAATCTGCCCCGACTGGAAACGGTGGCAAGTTGAACAATGCTTCACTGAAGTTCAGCTCTGTAAGATGAGCTCTGCTGCTCGCTTGGTCTGAAAAAGCAGCTGACAGCTCTCAGCAGTAGTACTCCTCCAGGCTGCTAGAAAGCCAGGTCATCGAATGTCACTGGTAAATCACGTTTAATCAGAGGTCCCCTGTTAACATGACTTTGAATTGAGCAAGTCTCAGCAGTCCTGGTATGGATGAAGTGAGGCTCAGGAATCCCAATCCATTCCTAGCCAGTCCCGTGGGACCGTGCAGGCAATGTCCCAGTTGTTTGAATGAGATTCTATGTTCAGTTCCCATAGAGCTTAGGACACTTTGGCAGCATGGACTCTTTTTGGATATATCACTGAGACCCTTCCACCTCACACCCCATACGCTTATTCCCTAATTCTGATTTTCCAGAGGACCTGTCCACAGAATATAACATTCAGTCAATAGTTCCATTGGCTTGTCAAACGCACACCAGCACCTTCACCCGGGCAGTTGCAGTTTGGCTCTTTGCTCCAATACTGGGAAGCGGGGGTTGGGGAAAGGGAGACCCGCATTGACTCTGCAAGACTGTCTTCCATAGCCCTAAACACTGATGACTGTCAACAACAGACCTCTTGGGATTCATAATAGCCATTTATAGTGTCTGCAGCCCAAAAGGTGGCAGTAAAAAGTAGAAATATGCTCAGTCCAGAAACCCAGATCCAGGCAATCCCAGAACTTTGGAGAAATTCAGATCAGGAGCCGAACTTCAGAGCAAGATTGCTGCTCAATTCCACCTCCAGTAAAACTGACATTGGTGAACTCTCTCTAGTCTCTCTCAATGACTCTCAGGTGCTCAGATACCACAGCCGTGTGAACAGTGTAAACACCTAGGACTGTGCTCTGTTTGTAAAACAAGAAGCAGGGTTTTTTTCTGTTTGGTAACATGATCAGTAAGTTTATTCTGGATTCACTGAGAGAGAATAGACAGTCTCTGCAGCTGCTTCACCCATGGGAGCTGTGCTGTTGGGAAATGTGTGTAGCATGGCATTATCCAATTAGCAAGGGAAATCATGACAAAAGGATTTCATTCCGAACAGGCCTCTGCAACATTACTGATCCCACCATAGTTAAAAACAAACAAACAAAAACCCCAAAGCCATAAAATGTAGGTTGAATTTTCTTTTGCAAAGTTCATTACCCCCACATCCTACCAAAAAGGTGAAATGAAAAATAACACCTGTGCATTCTCATTGCTCTACAATGCCAACACTGGAAATTCAGCCATTTATTAACATGGTATGTATTCACAGTTGGGAGCGGGGATGGAGGGGGGAAATATATCTCCTTTTTATTTATGAAAGGCCATTGTTCTACCCCTTCCTTTTGAACAGAAGAATGAGCAAGAAAACACCTTTATTCTTATTGTGATTTCTTTTTTTGTTGTTTTGTTGGGTTTTGGGGTGTTTTTTGTTTACAACTGCCTGTGCCTTCCCTCTGGGTGGTGCAAAATCCATGAAAACATCTTATAAAAATAAAAAATGGCTTCAGACAGTATTTAAAACACCTCTCCCTAAATTGTGCATGTGCCCTTGGCCTTCCATAATCTTTTGGTATTTGTGCTACAGTAGATTGCCCTTTTTTTTCTCTCTTTTTTTTTAATTTTATTTTCAGTGTTGATGCAAATCCCTAATGTATCCCTCTGTGTTCTAATCCAGTGTCCATATTCTCTGTGATGTCTTTCCTTATCTTCATTTCCTCATTTCCTCCTCTGCTTTCCATCAGCCTCCAAAAAAGATATGGGATTATACTCCTGGAGATTGCTCTATACTTACTAGGGAGGATAGAAAGGTAATTCTATCTCACATATGTTGTACCACAGTATGCTGTGTGTGTGTGTGTTTTTATCTGGCATCGTTTGGGTTTTACGAGTGTGTGTGGGTGGTGACTCTATTTTTTTTAATTTGGCATGAACTCATTATCCTAACAATTAAGTTGGCCAGTAAATCGTTTCAATAAGCAGTCCTTAAAACATAATCTACCATAAAGATGAGTGGTTGTTTTGTGTTCTTGACCTGCAATGATAATTGTACTAACAGCATATTGCATCAATGTTACAGTATCATCTGTTGTTTGGTTTTTTACAGGTGGGTTTTATGATACTTATGGTTTTTACAATTAGATTCCAGCAGGCCTGGTGCATCTCTGAATGTAAATATTAAATGCCTACAACCATTGTATCTGTGATTATTGAAAAGTGATTAATTACTGGTGAATTTCTGTGTCTTATCCATACCATCTTTGTCTTTTTTTTTAAATAAAAAGGCTCTTTTATTTCAAAATTAACATTCCTTTGTTTTCCCCTAACCCTAAGCATTATTTTTCCCATTCTTCTTCTCCTTCTTTAACCAGACTGATCTAGAAAAAGACATTTACCTCTACCAGACTGAGTTAGAGGCAGATTTAGAACAAATGGAGAAGCTTTATAAAGCGCCAGATAAAAAGCCATCGAAGGTATTTCCTCTTCTTTTCATGCTGCCAATCCCTGTTTCCCAACTCTCTGCTCTCTCTATTCACTGCTGTATGATTATTAAACGAGGCTAGGGTACATAATGCCCCAACCATTCTGATTGCATGGCTTGCTGTGTAACTGTCAGAAATGATAAAACATGATGCTGAGAATCTGGCTTGAAATCCATTTCAGCTACAGTGTTTCTCCCTCCCCCTCCACCTTTTCTAGGGTTTGTTTGGAGTTTGGTGTCTCTACAAAACCCCCTCACTATTTTTCACATGAATAGGCAGCGGCAATCGGCTTTAAATTCTTGGTTGACGTCACGTCACCATCTTGTGCCTTTCAAGCGATCTGCCTTCCCACATTTTTTTCACACATACCCCACTCTTATGTCAGGATGCTGTGCCTACCCTAAGATCTGGATTTTTTGCAAGAGATTTTATGCAACTGTCCTTAAGCTGCAATCAGTGCGGCCTTCTTGAGCAGGGTAGCTATCGCTGCTGTCCTGATGAGAACTAATCCTAGACTAGAAAGATTAATTCGGTAATGCTCCTATTATTATTATTATTTTATTATTTTATTTTATTATTTTAAAGCTACAATAATTTTGATTGGGACTTGGAAGCTGCTCTTTCAAAGACCTCATTAGCTTTTGTATATCATCTGCATTTCTTCCAGTTTATGAATCTATATATGGGGACAGGGGGAGAGACAGACTAAAAGGTAAACATAGTATTTCTTCCCAAATTGCCTCAAATTATTAAACAATGTGCCTAGGAAGCGTTAGCTGGATTAAAAGTGAGCCGATGGGAGCTGGCTTTTGCTACTGAAGCTGTGCAGCTGGCATTGCACCTTAAGGAAGGAACCTGGGCTTAGCCATTTCTTTTCTTGTTAGCAGGATGATATTGATTTGAACGCTGAGGAATGTATTATGCTGCAGAAATGTGATGTACCTTTAAAGAAAACGGGGGCGGAGGGTATAGGGGGAAAGCTTGGGGAAATAATTATAAGCATGTGTCTCCTGGTCCTGGCCCGGCTGGTTCTCTTTTCTAGCTTTTGGCTTTATTCACAATGACTCATTTGCAGACAATAGAGTAGCCACCATGAAAAGTCATCGGCTATGCTTAAAACCTGTTGCTGCCCTGAAGGGCCCCAAGAAAATTGTTGGTCTTCTGCAGAGACATTGCTGTATTAGATGCATTTAAACTGAAATCTCAATGTTTTCTGAAGGCCAGTATAGCTGAAAAATGACTTAAGCAAGGCTTTTTCTTTCTCTTTGCATCTCTTTGTGTATCAATGACTTCTTTGTTTGGACTTTTGCAGAGTACAGCAAGCAGCACTCCTCTGGAAACGTCTTCAGACCATTCATCCTAGTAAGTTTTAGAACCACTTGTTTGTTTTGTTTCACAGTTATGGGACTTCTGTTAGAATGTTGGAAGTGGTTCTTTCTGGTGACACATGCAGATAATATTAGCATGATATTTGTGAATTAGTTGAGGGTAGAAGGTCAGCTATATAGTTTTGAATTAAGTTAGAAGTTATTGTATAATTATTATTTAGAGGTACTCAAACAAGAAATGATCATTGTTCTACATGCCTTCTATTTAAAAAGCAAACAAAACTGTAACTTCCTCTTACATTAAATTTACAAATAATTGATCATGCTATATGGGACATAAAATGTCTAGTCATCTTGATTGCAAATGTTCCAATGAGTTGAATGCTCCAACTTTCTAGGCAAAGAAAGCAATTAAATAATTCTCAGCCTACAATTTTATGCTGCTATTTTAGAGGAAGATTCAATAGGAGATGTGCTCTGTCCAGATGCATTGCAGATGGAGCCAGTTTACTGTAAAAGATGGAGGGAAATTCCAGAGCCAGATGTGCCAATTTACCACCACTGGGGATCCAGCACCTCCCTGCTAACCTGTTATTCTCTTTAACTGAAACAAATGTGTAGTATTCCATCTAGGCACACTTATACAATCCAGATGGATGGGGAGTAAGGAAGAGCATGTTTTCCCCTCTGTCTGCAAATTTCATGTATATTCATCTTCCTTGACCTTTTATGATATGTGGTTTTGGAATTCTATACAGTTCCCTTTTGCCTGGGTTCACTTTGCAAAGGAATTTCCTTCCATTATCATAATTTGGAAGATGGCCTTATCAAGTCCATTATTTCATGATTTTTTTTTAATTTTTATTTTCGCAAAGGAAGGCTAATAACACTAAACAACATCAGAGTGTGTTGCAAAATATATAAGTGTTGCTTATGTTTGGCAATGGCTGGTAAGGATTCTGAATTCCTGACTGCACTCAAAGAGTTCCAAGTCTTGTAAGTCTTTCCCTTACATCAGATAACCTTGACTCCTACTTTCCTGGATCACTTCCATCAGCTGAAATCAGTATGCTTCATTCTTCCATCAGGACCCTACCCAATTCTCACCAAAGTCCAAGGAAACTCCACCATTGACTGCTGTAGGAGTTCAGTTGGGCTCTCCATAAATAAATGATATGCTCATTATTGGTGAGGGCGGTGAACCAAAATTCCTGAATTTGGCCTCCCTTGAATTCTGTGGAGTGGATATAATCTCATAATTACCAGTTATATCGATTAAGTGTTTGTTTCATTTTAATTTTTTTAATGAATTATGTTTAATCAGTTTCCCATATGTATCTATTCTCCTCACAATATTTACTGTCGGTACAATGGTCAAAAGTCTGAATACACATTAATATGTGAAGTTATGTAGATGTACATATAATTACATTGTATTATGTAGCACCAAGGCTAGATTTCCAAATGATGGCACTTCACTTACTCCCACCACATCTGTGCTGTTTAGATGACTACCTCCAAACACTGCACCCACAGTAAATGTTTTAAGGAAATGATATTTTGTTTCTCAGCTCATGGGGTAGGATCATTCTCTCTAGATTTGCATGCGGGGGGAAGGTATTCTCTGCACATGGATCTGCCCCTGTGGAAGAGCATGGGGGTGCTACCTCTAGCAGCACAGGCTCCCCTCTCTTCCTGCCCCCATTGAAGCACTTGGGGATCTGTGCTGGGGGAGGGGAAGGTGGAGGATGGGATGGGTAGCCTGGGAGGAGTCACATGTTGTTCCCCTTCCAGCCCTGTGGAGCTTAGGTGGAAAAGGTAATGCTGCCTGGGGCTTTACTGTCTTTTCTGCAGAGCCACACCTCTCCCCTGGGTGACCATGGGCCAGAGAATCCTTTGTAGTGTGGCTCCAGTGGAGCAGAGCTGTCCTGGCACAGGGATGCTGCTGGCTGCCAAAGCCAGAGTCATAGCGCCTCCATGCAGATGGCTCTGGCCTCCTATGGATAGTCCCTGCAGCCTGTTTCACAGGGTGGGCAATGATGGGGGAGAAGTCAACAATGGGCCAATGGGAGTCTCCCAGACACTTCCTCTCCCACAGGTGTTTCCCCAAGAGAGGATTGTCTGGGTCATTGGTCTTTAATTACTGGGCTAAAATATTTCCCGCTCCCAGGTCATGAACCTCAGGGGAGTAAATATCAGCCTGTAATCACTGGGGCTGCCCATTTGGGCTCCTCAGGAACCTGACAACCAGACATTGAGGTAAACCTGACTCAGGCTGCATAGTGCTGTGTTTGTGATACCCATTCTGTGGTTCTGGCTGTGGGTCCCATTGAAGCCATTAGGAGTTTTGCCTGGGAGCCACCGAATTCCCTTCTTTCTTTGTATTTTGTTTTTCACTAGTTCTGTTATTACCCAGGGCCCTAACTAATGGGAGATCTGGTCTTCTCATGATCTCCTCCCCCATCCAGGAACTGAAATCCTTTGAAAGGACAAAATATCTTGTAATTCCAACTCCATTAATGGCTTTCTGAGGCATTGAAAGAAGCTGTACCCATCAGGCACCATGTCCCTCCCAAGTAACCAAGCACATACATACATCTGTTGGTATGTTATTGCTGCTAACACAAATCAGATATACATCTGGGAATCGTGGGATCTTAGCCTACTTTCTAATGGTTTCCTCAAATCAGTAAATGATCTGATTTTTTTTTTAACTTACCAGGAGTCATACTTTGTCCCCAGTATAGCTTTGTTATAATAAGATTTCATATTATTATTATTATTATTATTATTGTCATTGTGCAGTGTCTGGCTGAAGATGCTCAAGCACTAGGGTTGCCAACTTTCTAATTGCACAAAACGGAACACTCTTGCCCCCTACCCCGCCCCTTCACCGAAGCTCTGCCCCCGCTCACACCATCCCCTCTCCCTTTGTCACTCACTCTCCCACACCCTCACTCATTCGCTCATTTTCACCAGGCTGAGATGGGGTTGGGGTGCGGGCTCCGGCTGGGAGTGCGGGCTCCGGGGTGGGACTGGTGAGGAGGGGTTTGGGGTGCAGGAGGGGGCTTCAGGCTGGGGGGGTGGGGCAGAGGGGTTCAGAGTGTGGGAGAGGGCTCCAGGCTGAGGCAGGGGGTGTGGGCTCTGGGATGGGGCCAAAAATGAGGGGTTCAGGGTGCGGGAGGGGGCTCCAGGCTGAGGCCGAGGGGTTTGGCATGCGGGAGGGGGTTCTGAGTTGAGGCAGGGGTTGGGGCACAGGAGGGGGTTCAGGCTCCAGGAAAGAGTTTGTGTGTGGGACGGTATGGGCTCTGGGCTGGGGGTGTGGGCTCTGTGCTGGGGCCAGAAATGCCGGGTTCACATCCCGGGACGGGGATCGGGGCAGGGGGTTGAGTGCAAGGGTGGGTGAGGGCTCCAGCTGGGGGTGTGGGCTCTGGGGTGGGGCCAGGGATGAGGGGTTTGGGGTGCAAGTGGGGGCTCCAGGCCGAGGCCAAGGGGTTTGGAATGTGGGAGGGGACTGGAGCAGGGGGTTGGAGAGTGGGAGGGGTTTTGGGGTACAGGCTCTGGGTGGCACTCATGTCAGTTGGCTCCCCGCAAGTGGCAACATGTCCCTCGGCGCCTAGGCACAGGTGCAGCTAGGTGGCTCTGTGCACTGCCTCCGCCCGCAGGCGCTGCCCCTGCAGCTCCTGTTGGCTGCAGTTCCTGGCCAACAGGAACTGCAGAGCCAGCGCTCTGAGTGGGGCAGGGGCAGCGCACGGAGCCCCCGTTGCTGTCCTTCTGCCTAGGACCCGAGGGACATGTCACCACTTCCAGGGAGCCGCGCTGAGCCAGGTAGGGAGCCTGTCAGCCCTGCCAACAGGACTTTTAACGGCCCGGTCAGCCGTGCTGACTGGAGCCGCCAGGGTCCCTTTTCGACTGGGGGTTCTGGTCGAAAACCGGACACCTGGCAACCCTATCAAGCACTGATATCAGATGAGATCTGCTCTTATGAAACACACAACCTGCTTGACTGCTTAGCATGTCTTCTGCCTCTGAAAAAGTCATTTGTACTGTGGCAATGCTGACCTTTTGTATCTGGGAGAGAACAGTGAGCTGTAGGAATAATACTATGTAGCAAACTACCTCTCAGATTCATGCCTTTGGGGAGATTCCTTAACCTTGGCTTGCATGGAGTTGTAATCAATCACCTTAGTTTCTGTTGGCCTAAGCAAATGAAGTCCTATCTATTTTTAACATAAATCTCAGTCTAATGCCAGGGACAGAATTCTGCTCTTGCATCTGCCTGGCAGATCTGGCCTCCAATATTCTGCTCTCCCTACAGGGGAGCTCTGTGCATGTGGGCAGAAAAGAATGCAAGAACTGAGATCTGCCATGCAGGTTGGGGCAGAATTTAACCTCAGGAATAGACTGTTTCAAATTTGAAACAGTCTATTCTATTTGTGAATGGGAGGCAGCAAGGACTAGTGGTTAGAGCAGAAGCTTAGGTGCTGTTTTTTGTTCCCAGTCTGGCCACTGAACTACTGAGTAGCTTTAGGCTATGTCTACACTAACGCGGTAAATCGACCTATGCAACACAACTCCAGCTACATGAATAATGTAGCTGGAGTCAATGTACCTTAGGTCGAGTTACCGCAGGGTCTACACCACGAGGAGTCAACGGGAGAAAATCTCCCGTCGACTTACCTTACTCTTCTTGTCAGGGGTAAAGTACAGGGGTCGACTGGACAGCGATATGCAGTCGATTTGGCGGGTCTTTACTTGACCCGCTAAATCGACCGCTGGTGGATCAATCTCAGATCATCGATCCTGGCTGTAGTGTAGATCTGCCCTTAGACAAATCTCTTACCCTCTCTGTACTTCCATTTCCCCATCTATAAAACACGGGGATAATACTTCCCTGTCTCTTGGGTGTGAAGAGAGGTGTAGCTTGTACAGCTCCTTGAGACAGTGGAATGGAGGATGCTATAGCAATGCTAAGTATTTCAAGTGTGATTTCAATATGTTCATGGTCTTCAGCTAGAAATCTGACCTCAGCTGTATTGACATGCAGAGGTGTAAGAATCACAGGCACTGCTGAGCACGGGTTCACGAGTGATCTCCTCTGACCTGCTCATGATGCTCTCTAAGCACACAGTAAGAGAGAGAAAAATCAGTCTTTCTTTTCTTTTTTAACCCATATTCTAGCTCAGCCTATTTACCCAGCTACCAGACAGCAAGGAGAGAACTGGAACCAGCACCAGCGGACCCTGCTGGCTTGGAGAATGAAAGGCAGATTTACAAAAGTGTGCTGGAAGGTGGCGATATCCCGCTGCAGGGACTAAGCGGTCTCAAACGTCCTTCTAGCTCTGCTTCCACTAAAGGTAGGTCAGCAGAGCATTGACCTCTTCCCTCCATTACACACGGTGAGGTGGGTGAACTGCCAAGGGCGGTTGGGTCCTTATCCAAACCTAGTGAGGTCTACCTGTCATTCCTCTCTCCTTCTCTGCCTTTCGTCCGCTTTTCTCTCCCCACCGAGCCTGGCCACGCTTTCCCTTAACCCAATCCCCAACGAACGCCAGCTTACCAACAGGGTCAGGACTCTTCCCTTTGCTTTCCCTTATTTCTGTCTCCCTCTTTCCAACTGCTAACAGTCGGCCAACACCACCTTCCCCTTTTCCTTCCTAACTGCAGCACCCCCATGTCCTCTTTCTGCCACCCTGCTGTTGCTGCTGTTCCTGGTGTGCAGTCTGATCAGGTCAAGCAGTGTCTGGTGGCCTGAGCACGTCTGCATTTCAGTACCATGCACTCTGGGGCTCTCCTGACTCAAAGACACATGGGACGCCTCTTGACCTGGCAATTGCCTCGGAGCCCATGAGATACAAAGAGAGCAGCCAGCCCAGCAGAGACTGGTGACACTGTTGAGCCTCCACCTTGGAGTTTGCAGTATACTGGGACAGGCAAGAAGCCTGATGCATCTCTGAGCTGGTTGTAAGCTAAAAATGGCTGGGGGCAAAGGAGCTGGTTCTTTTGTTTTCCAAGCCAATCCTCCTACAAAATAACATATCACACCTGGGAGTTTCTGTCTTCATCTCCCACTCCCAGCTGCTTTCAGCAAACATAGCTGTGCAAAGGGAGCAGAGAGCATACTCAGCCAGTCCCCAGCGAGCACAACTGCCGAGGGCCAGCAGATTGGTTCATTTGTTTTAGCGCAGATGCTCCCTGGCTTGCCTGACCCTGGCAGGAATAATTTACTTGGCAGCTGTTGGCTGGGCAGGACCATGGTTGGTCTGATCACTGGCTCACAGTGAGGCTGCTTTTGCAATATTAATCCCTCTGCATCCCTGCTAAGGCCCACATTCTGCTAGATGCTGAGTTGCCTCTTGCATGGTGTGGAGGATGCTCAACATTTGGCAGGATTGGGCCCTACAAGTGCTCCTGGCCTGAATCTAGACCTGCTTCTGATTTTAGAAACTCCACAGCATTGCAGAATTTTGCTGTATCTTTGCACTCGCTTTTATAGCGTGGCTTGTGAATTGTCTCTGCTTTTTTCTTTCTTTTGAACACCAGTTTTTTAAAGTTCATTTTGTGATATCCAAGCATGTTATCTCTCCTTTCTCAATAGCTTTCCAGCATTTAAGCTAACAGGTTGTATTTATTTTATTCTGCATGCTTACCAGTGGATCGTAAAGGTGGGAATGCTCATATGATTGCACCCTCTTCAGTTAATAGCCGAACCTTTAACGCTAGTCATACCAGTATGTTAGGTCATGCATGTAAACATAAGAAGCCCTTATCAGCTGCAAAAGCCTGCATTACTGAAATCCTCCCTTCCAAATTCAAACCCAGACTAGCAGCTCCTGCTGCTCTTGTGCAGGACACAAAGGGTATCCTGCTGCCTCATGAGAAAGCGCAAAGCTGTGAGAACCTTCGTAGCTCCAGTGCCTTGTTTGATAACAAAAAAGCTTTCCTGGTCAATGGGGAAAGTGTAGAAAACCTTCTAATGCAATCGAAGCAGGAATATGTCACCAAATCCAGCAGCACTATGAGCCTACAGGAGTACAGCACCAGTTCTAGGAAGGGCTACCTTCCCAGGAAGAGTGGGATGGAGTTTACAATGCTGTATAAAAATATGCATCAGATCAACAGGTCCAGGATCCATCTGGGCACCATCTCATCCTGCAGCGTGAGGGATATTGCATCCCAGTTTGAGAACGAGCTGAGGGACAGAAGTGAGCAGAGCCCCGGTCGGGAGAAATCAGAGCAAATCCCCAAAGACACTGTCTCATCCCGCATCACTGCCTTCGAGCAGCTGATCCAGAGATCCCGGTCCATGCCCGCTCTCGACTTCTCCAGTGGACAAAGCAAATCGCCCACCTCTCCCCAGTCTAAGAGCTGCCTGAGCTCGGCCTATTCAGCAGAATCCCTGCTGGAGTCACCAAAGCCAAACCAAGAAGAAAAGGATGCTGCCAGCATGGCCGACAACTCCTCTCACTCCTGCAGCAACGTGGAGGACTTGGCGTCAGATCTCAGTGACATTGTCCCCATGGACACACTCTCGGCTTGTACGGACGAGACTGATCTCCAGTCCAACGCATCCAACGACAGCGGCGGCAGCCTCAGCCATGCCAACGGGCCCCGGAAATATAAATTAAACAAATGCAAAGGAGCTTGCCCGGCTTCCTACACCAGGTTCACCACCATTCGTAGGCACGAGCAACAGCAGGCCTCCAAGAACCCCAGTTTCAAAGGGGACACCCAGGGGGACAGGCACGCACTCCCCAGAAATGTCTATTTGATGAGCCCACTTCCCTTCAGATTGAAAAAGCCCTTCCAGCACAGCCCAAGAAAGACTCCGCCCCCGGATTGCCTGGGAGTCTCGCTGGTATATAGCACTGAGAACCAGAACAACATAGCTCAGCCACGAGGGTGCCAGGCGGAAAAGAGTCACCACTCCCTGCACAAACGGTGTTGTGAAGACAGACCTCTGGCCCCCAGGCGCCTGTCTTCCTTTGACATTGTGGAAAGGCTTAGCCATTTCCCCAGTATGGAATCCAGTCCAGAAAGCTCCGTTCTCCGAGCTGATATGCCAGACTCCTTTAATAATGGGAATATTGTTCCATACACTTTCTATCACAGCTTGGATAGAAACAACAACCCACAAAGCGAACTCAGGACATACCCTGGAGGTGGCTATTTGTGTACTTTACCACTGTTACTTTATCTGTCTTCCCACTTTGCTCTTTTCTCCCTATTTTTTGTTGACCCCCCTCTGCATCACCCAGTGCTCATTTTCCTCGTGTGTCTGATGTCCTTTGCCTGTCTTGCTTAGCATTTTTGTTCAGAACTCGTTAACAGTTGCACTTCTGAAAAACAATTTCTGCTGCCTTTTCTAATCACCATCCAGCTCAGTTTGTCTCAAAGGCAATTCCTAGGATGTGAGAATCTTGCAATGAGATAGTCTTAATCCCGTATCACTTGCGTATGTGCGAATAGAATACGTCAACCCAGTTGATTTGGTTTTCTAAGGAGCAGTTCCTCCAGGTCTAATTGTGTCTCTGAGTGTGCAATCATGTTTGTATGTGTTTGCATGGGTGGTGACAGTAATATGCTAAATCCTATTTCAATGGCAGCAAATATTTTCTTCACAAAGTCTTTTTATGTTTTTACTCGCTTTCCCACCTTTGTTTTATCCTTTGTTTCAATCTGTGTTCACAAGTACAGCCCAAAAGGGAAAAAAAAATTCCAAAACATTATCAATATTTGACTGAGAATTTGGTCAACAACAATTGAAAATCCTTTCAACTGTAATGGAAGCAAATTGTAGTGCTGTCAAAATATTTTTTTTCCTTTCTGGTGAAATAAGTTAAGTCCATTTGTTTTTTAACTGCCTTGTGTTGTTTTGAAGTAGATTCAGAATCACCAAGGCATTTTGCACCAGTCGATTACATGGAAACTCCAGAAGAAATTACTCGTAGACGTCATGATGATAAAGAGGTAAAGCCCTTCCTTGTGGTTTAGAAACATTTCTAACAGCTAAATATACAGGAAGCACACCATTTGGCCTTACATAGCCTCTGCATCTCCGTACCTACTTATGGAGGAAGTGTTATGTAGTAGTTAGAATAAGGGACTCCAGATTTATATTACTGCATCTGCCGCTGATTTGCTGTACGACCGTGGGCTAGTCTCTTCTTGACCTCTCTGAGCCTCAACTTACCCAGTATGTAAATAGGGATAATAATACTTACCAACCATGCAAGGATTATATGAGAGGTCATTAATGTTTGCAAAGTACTTTGAGATCTGTTAGAGACGTACAGTACACCATTGCTCTAATGAACCTGTTGGAATCCAAGCCTTTTGTTCATAATTGCCAGGGGTTCATTAGAGCAAAAGGACAATCAAAATGAATGATACGCTGCTGATGTAAGTTAATGAAGTGGCCTTAGATAAAAGTGTTTGCTACATTAATTTATTATTAATAATGATACCTGAGGCTAGGAGTCAGTCATGGAGAGTGAGTTTAGGTAGCATCTGCGACTTCAGCTGTGGGTGTCAGGGCTCCAGGCAGTCAGCCCCTGCAGGAGTGGGGCTCCAGGTGATTGTCTGTCAGCCCCTCACAGTGAGGCTGGGGCTCTGGGACTGTAGTTGGGATCCAGGGACTGCGTTTGTTATGTCCAAAGGTTCATAATAATGAAGGGCGATATAGTGAGAATGTACTGTGTTTGTTATAATTCAGCAGGTGTGCTTTACAGGAGGGCAAAATGGTCTTTCTATAAGCTAAAATGGTGTCAGCAAAGTCTCTTCAGCCAAGTATTAATTAGTAAAGACAAGATTTTCAAAAGCAAGTAGTGATTTGGGATATTCCCAATTCTGAGACATTTTAAATGGGTCTCATTTTCAGAAAGTGCTGAATATTCTCTCTGAAAACCAGGCATCTTTACTATGTCTCTGTTTGGGCACCCAAAATTCACCAGCCCCTTGAAATTGTTGGCCAGTATATATACAAACTAACATAATAAGGGAACCACACAGTCTTTCCAAACACTGGCCAAATTCGATATTGAAGAAAGATACAAACTACTGGCACTCTGTGAGGTTACTAATTTTTATTAGCCACCTATCTGCTTCTCTGAAAAGCCAGTGACTTAACCTGGGAGATACTTTTTTCATTGAAGAATCATGTTATCATTCTGAGTTGGAATAATTTTAATATCTTGCTTTGAAATATTTTTAAGCCCTCCTTTTAATTTCTGTGCAAATACATCTTTTGCTATCTCCTCGCATTGTAAAATATATGAATAGCAACTATCTGAATTCATTGGCACTTAAGGCCCTTGGGTGAGGTTAGCACAAAGCTTGGACCACACTCCTGCAGTCAGATCCAGGTGGATGGACACTCACACCCATGGAATGCAGGATCAAGGGCCTTCATTTCCACTAATCTGCTAAAGGATGGGGAAGCTGGAAATACTTTTGTTAGTGAGAATTACTTGTTTTACTAGATGATGTTTGTTATGTGAGCCATAAGCAGCTAGGGGGAGATCTGCAAAGTCACAAAGGGCATTTAGCCACTCAACTTCCATTGATAGTCAATGGGAGTTAGGTGCCTAAATGACCATCTGGGCCTGATCAAAGCTCATTGAAGTCAGTGGAAAGACTCCCCTTGACGTTCATTGGTTTTGGATCAGGTCCTTGGTATGCAGAGTTGTTTCATTGTAAATGATCCCATTAAGAACTACCAATAATCTGCATTTAAATACACTGTAATGCAATGTATTTTCTATGTCAAGCTAATCAACTGGGAACCATTGTGTTGTTGATAAAATTGATCTTGTATATTTCTCTAAAGCTGCTGCTATTTGCCGGCACCTCTGAAGTTCTTTATTAAAGTCACATTTGCTGGCAGTTTTCAAATGCCCTAAACTAGATGATTTACTGCCCATTTTATGCAATTTTATGGCAGAAACTTTTAGAGGACCAGAGACGACTTAAACGTGAGCAAGAAGAAGCTGATATTGCAGCTAGAAGGCACACAGGGGTTATTCCAACCCACCATCAGTTTATCACTAATGAGCGGTTTGGGGACCTCCTAAATGTAGACGATACAGCAAAGAGGAAATCTGGGTCAGAGGTCTGTTATAGTTACCTCAGTCTGCTGCTTGACCCAATGCAATATTCGCCTCTCACAATGTTGCGCTTTAGACCGACATTAGCTCTCCAGAGAATGTTTAATTTTTTTCCCATTCTGGCTTCATTTAGAATTGCTTTGGCTCTTGTGCCTGGTAAATTAATTGATATCTCTATACCAAGCTGTATATGTTAAAGCATGCCTGCTGAGAATTGCTGGTGCACACCTGTGATGCATGTGTTTAAATATCAGCTACTTTTAGTGAATCAAAGGCATTTTACATCCCTTGCATCAGACTGCTTCATTGTCTTCTTGTCTGTGCCTTATGCTTAGAAACTTCATGTCCTGTTGATCCTGGTCATGTGACTGTCCTGTATTTTTGTTAGAAATAGATTATGCTGTTCTCCTTCTTTTGAAAGACGCTCAGTACTGCTCTAGGAAAGGTTGGAAGAAGTCCCAGCATGTTTCCTAAACATTACATGATTTAGTCCTTCTAAAAGAGACAAAGGAGGAGATACTTTTCAAGTCCTCCCATGGCACTTTTCACAAGAGTTGGGGTGTTTAGGTGGCCAAATGCTACTTCCTGCCTTAAACCGTTGTGTATCATTGCTGTGTGCTGTTTAAACAGCTGCTGTATTTCACCCCAGAGGTGGCTGCATTTCAGTGATGAGTGAGGTGGTTCCTGTGTGCAGGACTAACTTTTGCCCTCAGTTGCATGGGTGTAACTGAGGCCAGAAATGAACCCATTGTTTTTAAAGTGCTTTGGGATCTTTCAGAATGAAAGGTGCCATGTGAGTGCAAGATATTAGTTATTATGATTATTATATTACCAACAACTATAATTATTTTATTTCTAAAATTGCTAATTATTTTTATATTATTATTTAATTGCCATAGTAGCTTAAAATTATCAAAATATTTTAGGACCATTTTAATCAGCCAACAAAATCACACCCTAAAAGGTGTTGATAGACGTGCTCGTAATACATCCTATTTATCTTTATGTCTAACTTGAGACAGTTTTAGACACATGCTTATTTTCCTTCAATTCCTTCTGATTTGTTCTAGTCTTTGAAATGGCTGGAAAGCATTTCCATAGCCTTTTCAGTAATGGGTCGAAAACATAATTGTTGTTTTGTTTTCAATCTTTAGATGAGACTTGCTAGAGCCAAGTTTGACTTCAAAGCACAGACATTAAAGTGAGTATATCTGGATATGGTTGTTTCTATCTCTCTCTATCTGCTTTTTCTGCATATCATGCAACATTTAGGATGTATAATAAGACTGATTAATGTTTCTGGAGTGTCTCTTGATCCAGTAATTCAAAGCAAGTCCTTCAAGTCAGTAGAATAGCTTTGTATACCCTGTGTATCTGCTCCCAGTATGTCTTTGAGGCAAATCCAGTTGCTTCACTGAAACAAACAAGTATTTGTTCCTGCTAGCCCCTGCTGGAGGGTGAGCTGGATTCAACTCCGCTTCATCCATTGTAAGCGGAGTTGCCAGTTGTGTCCCGACTGCAGTATCTTTATTACTGGTGGTGTTTTAAGAGGCAGGAAGAACCCAGCTGGTTGCTTAGATCCCAGCCTGAGCTTGCAGAGAGAACAGTGTTTTTGACCTGCTCACTGTATACATTTGATGTGGCCAAGTGAGAGAGGAGCTTGTGTCATCCATGTTAGGAGAGGACAGGGTGGGTTTTTGTCATTCGCTGTTGGCTGGCCCATAGAAGAGGTTTGATAGTCTGATACAGTTGGTCCTTTCGTTCAAGCTGTAAAGGTTTCTGCTTTTCTTGCTGAAGTTTCCAAGTTCAAATCCCACTGCTGGACTGGCCCAAGCAAAGTCCGTAATCGTTGCAAAGGCTGGCTGGCCATGGAGCGTCATGTATATGGTGCTTCCATTATCAGCAAATTAGCTTCCTCCTAAACTCTCTCAGAATGGTCTTGGCCCACTTATCTCCTTGCAAAGTGAACAAGTGTATAGGCGAAATGACCAACCCAAAGCAGGAAAGTGGGCACGGTCCTCTCTCCTCCCATCCTATCCAGCAGCAGCAGCAGCCAGTGGCTAGTACTTTTTAACACTTGCTTGCCTTTCCTTTCCCCTGCTTGTGAAAGGGAGCGTGCTCAATAACGTCTGGCCACACCCACAGTGCACCCAGACAGTGAGCAAACCCTTGGCATCTCATAGTAAGAACAACAGGGTAGCATCTAGATGAGAGGGTTGAGTGTGATTTATATGCTTCTTCCCAAACCCATCTTGCAGCAGTTGGGTTGATAGGGACCCCCTGGAAAGTGTGAGATACCCAGCAGGGATGGCACTTCGGATGTCCAGCGTGAATATACACAGCCTCTTTCTCCTGCAGTGAAATTCATTGTGCTTTGTTTGCGGACAGTATGCAGTTCAGCTGTAACCAATATGTTGTTAACAGGGAGCTTCCTCTGCAAAAAGGAGACATCGTTTACATTTACAAGCAGATTGACCAGAACTGGTATGAAGGAGAACACCATGGCAGAGTTGGCATCTTCCCACGCTCCTACATAGAGGTACCTCTTTCCTTTTGAAATGCTCTCATTCCAGAGCCAAAGCTCCGCCTCAGAGCCACCCGCTTGTGGGCTCCTGGTGGGTCATTGGACTTCATTTCTTTCTTTCAGCTACTTCCGCCTGCTGAAAAAGCCCAGCCCCAAAAGCTGGCCCCGATGCAGGTTTTAGAGTATGGAGATGCTGTGGCTAAATTTAACTTTAACGGGGATACTCGAGTGGAAATGTCATTCAGAAAGGTAGGACCCTCACTGGCGTGACAGGTGAAAGCATTCATCAAAACAAACCAGATGGTGCATCATTTCAAAGGAGATGATCCACTAAAATTGGCAACCATTTTGTGCATGTTAGAATCATCTAATTATCTTAATCTAATCCTTGGGGGTTTTATTCAGCACCCATTGCCGTAGTATATTGTGATGAGTGTTTTGCAGGGAGACTATCTGTATCCAAGAAAGCAGACACGTGCTATATTCCCACTCCAGAGAGACTAGCATGGGTGCAGTGCTGGTGCTGTGATTCTGCATGCTAAATTAGACCTTTAGTGACACCTGCACAGCCTCATTACCATCACTTGGGTTGCATGGGTGTAAAATGAGGTGCAGAATGTGACTCTGCACTGGAACATCAACTTTCTGTTGATGAATTACTGAATAGCTTGTTCTCCCATAGCATTGCTGAGCCAAACCAGCTCACAAGAGTGAATAGAAGTGAACACATATCTGTGTTACTGTAGTGCCCACGTAAGGCAATGAATGTAGACAGGGAGTAAGAAGGTGCCATTTTCAGTCACTTTTCAGAGCAGAACTAAACGCATTTATTAAAGTACCTTAAACAGCAAAATTTCTCCATCTCAAAGGTGGCAGATGATTGCATGTGTGTTGATATTAAAATTCCATGTTCTCTATTTTCTTTTTCATTTTACTCAAGGTTGGAGCTTGCAGTTTATAATCAGGATTCAAAAGTCTTTCTTGTGTGTTTTGTCAGCAGAACAGAAGGGGAGAGGATTGGTGACAGGGCTTAGGGACTCTGCTATGGGATTCACATAATGAGATCAGAACCTCAGCTTTCATATAAAAAAATGTTTCTTACATTCTGGATGCAAAGAAACTCTGTGAAATGTGACCCAAGAGTGACTGCTGCCTGCCTGAGTCTGCAGAAGCCTGAGCTAGCTTCAGGAGGGATGAACCTCCATAGTCAGCTCAACTCAGAAACATGCTGCCATGTCAAGAAGGGTGGGGCCACATGCCACAGATGACTTGAATTCAGCTGGGGCGAGGGCTGTCATCTCCTGTGCTGCAAGTTTACACGCTGGGTTAGCATCAGTGCTGTGTGATGGTTCTCTCCTGCAGGGCGAAAGGATCACGGTGATCCGGCGAGTTGATGAGAACTGGTACGAAGGGAAAATCTCTGGTACCAACCGCCAAGGCATCTTCCCTGTCACTTACGTGGACGTGCTCAAGCGGCCACTAGTGAAGAATGCTGTTGATTACCCTGAGCTGCTGATGTCTCAATCCCCTAATCGCAGTACAACGGCTTCCCCGCAGGTACCCAGGCTAGATGTAGCCAGTTACTAGACCTTACAGAACAGTAGGACGCAGTCATTTGTGTGCAGGAAGAAATCCCCAGCCAAGGTTAGGGTGTACTGTACAGCAGCACCATCCGTCCTGTCCAGTTTGCTCCCATTGTACCGACCCAGGGAGAACTGATCTGAAGGGGTTACACTTCACTTACCAGAAAGACTGGGTGGCTGGGAGGACTGGGGACAGGACAAAAAGCATTTCATCTCTGATCACAGATTGAACCTTGGCTAGGTTGGCAAGGATGGCAAGTTGAGTGAATTTCAGTGCCTTTGCAGGGATAAGTCAGTGACTTTGGTCCAGTTTGAGACCGGTGCCTACACAAGTCAAACTATCACTGCGATGAGCATCCTGTTTGATTAAAAGGGCATTGAGACAAAGGGGTCAGTGGCAGTCCTTCCATCCACTTCAGTAGGATTTAGATCAGGGCCTAAATTATCCCTCCATGTAGCAACTCCAGCTTAGGGCTGAGACAGCTGGGCAGGACAGTGTGTCAGAGGCCTGAGTTACCATTGATCATGCTGTACATGGTCAGTAGCAAAATGGAAGGCTTGAGTCTCTAGGGCCTGCCAGTCTGGCCCCATTAGGAGCGCAAAACTGCCTTTAAAACAGGTGTAAAATCCAATTGAAACCAAAAAACGGTGAATTAAATCCACCACAGAGACAGCGGCCGGTGGCAGTTTGGGATTGCAGTTTGTCCTGTTTGTAGTGGCAATCTCAGATCTAGGACTGACTGTGGGGCTCTATAGCCTTTGATACACTTCACCCTGTGCCTGCAAACATTTTTGCTTTAAAGTTGAGGACATACATGAGGTATGTGCAGGTGCGGGTGAGGGAGGGAAGGAAAGGTGTTAGCTGGTTCTGTTCAACATACACAACAAGACCCTTCAGTGAGTAATGCTGGGGGAGGAGAGTCAGGAAGTTGGGGCATGCAACAGAGATTAGGGAAGGATTGCAAATTTCAGGGCCACAGTCAGTGTCTCTGTCCTTGTCTTCCTTTAGCGGTCTTATTAGCAGGTATTTCTGTTCCTGGCCATTGAGCGAAGAGGAGACCGTGCTTGCTTTCTTGGGGTTCCCTGAAAAAATGAATCTCAACTTAGCTTCAGTGTGTGTGGGCCTGGCACATCCTATGTTGCCATGGCATGCCTGCTGCCACCTTGCTGCCAGCTTTTCCCTTGGTTTGGAAGCCTGTACGCACCCTTTCTTTGTTTTTTCAGCAGTTTTGTTAATTCTCTCAGTAAAAGCGGTTGTTTTCTTCCTTTCATTCTTGTTTCCTGCAAAGCATGGCTGGTGCGCACATATGATCGGGGAAAGCTCTAGGCCTGTCATGCCCAAGAGCCCTGCACCCCTAGACAAGGGCAGAGTTCAACCCATCTTTGTTCCAGCTTCATAAACCTAGAACTTGCTTTAAAATCAAAGAGCCAACTCCCGGGATGCTCCCTGCCTTGTAGCAGTGCTGGCTCTTCAGCAGCCCCATGGCTCCGTCACTGAGCGGCAAGGTACTACTCAGTGTGAGTAAGGGTTCGCAGTCTGCATGAAGCCCCCAGCGAGCGTTTATCCTCCATGCTGTGTCGCCTGCTTTCCTGCACTCACTCTTCATTTCCCCACTGCCTTCACTTGTGTTTGAGAATTTTGTACTTTTCCTTGTCATTTGTCTTATTTCTATCTTTTTTCCTTTTCTTTCCTTTTAAGTCTCCTGGCTCTGAGCTGCTCCATACATCAACTCCTCCACCTTTCCCTTTCCCACGCCATGCTCTGTCTCCAGAGGTGCAGGCGATCACGGCCGAGTGGATTTCCCTGACTGTGGGAATGTCTCCTAGCAGTACTCCTGTCATAACCCCTCCATTGCCTCCTCTCCCCGAAGGCTGTCTCTGTCCCATCGACTATCTCACACCCTCAGCTGCAGCCAGCCCCTCCCCCTCTGTTAGCCTTCACCATTCTAACCTTTCGGGCTCCTCCACGCCACGGTCCATTATATCGCCACTGCCATCTTTCTCCTCCAGGACACTGTCCTCTGCTCACACTTTCAGTCACACCACTCCGCAAAGCGAAGAAAAGTTTGTTGGCTGCCCTTCCCCCAACCTGAGCAGCTGTCAGACCCCTCACTCGGTTGTTGGGAGACCCGAGAGCTTCCTCTCCGAGCTCAGTGATGTCATTGGCAACCAAACCAAGGTCCAAAATAATAGAGAAGGCAGCAGAAACAGTGAGAGAGAGGGTTGGAAGGAGACAGACAAAGGCTTTAATCCCATGCCCGAGATCTCTGTGGAGGGTTGCTTGAAAACATCAAATCTAGACAAGAATATGAGCCCAGAAAAGAAACCCTTTGCTTCCTTTGGGGAAAGCCAATTATGTCAGGAGCTAATCACTACTGGGGAGGGAAATAATGCTGAGAAAAGAGGCACAAGGAAAGGTGAACCGAGAGAGATTCGAAGCGGAGCAAACAAGGTACTTCTCCTGCATGTTTATGCTATTCTGAAACCCTACGCTTACTTGTGTGTTCAAATCCTTATTGCTCAGCTGGCCACACAGAGCCAGTAGCTGTTGTCTATCCCTTTATGGACTATAGCTAGCTAGTGGCTGTTAGCAATACTGTCTCCTGCATGCAAGGGGCTAAAATGGCCTAGAAGTGGATTCAGCAAGGCTGTAGAAAGAGTTAGTGGAGAATAGTCATGAAAGTAGGAATTGCCTTGACAAATATTCCAAAGCCTCGTCTAGTCTACTATCTTGGCCCAATCAGTGGTCATTACTAGATGTGTCAGAGGAAGGTATATTGCAGCCTCCATGCAATTCACCTCCCTGTACAAAAACAATGGACTACAGGGAATTCCTTCCTCACCCTAGCTGGTGATCAGTTTATGCCCTGAAGTATAAATTTCATCCTAGCTAGAGAGAGCACCTATGCTGTTCTCGTTCATAAAAATGAAGGCAGGTGAACCTAATGGAGCCTGAGGTGGTGTGAACCTCTAACCCGGGTCTGTGTATTCGCATAGCCAGCTAGTTAAAGTGCAGGAGTCATTTTTTCTTGTAATACACTCAGTGGGCCTGATTCTCATTTACCCTTTATGTAAATGTCACTAACACCCACTGTAAGACCCCTTTACACTGCCAGAGTGGGCTAAAAGGACCTTAGTGTAAATAAGAATTAAAGCCAGTAGTGTTTTCTCCCAAGAGTGAGTCAGTTATTTAAAATTATATATACACTTCTTGCTGAAGAGCAAGCTGTGCTCTGTGAAAAGAATAGAGGAATCTTAGGGGAGCTCTCAGCTAGCAGGAGGTGGCATAGTTGGCTTCAACACCCCCCAACAGACCCCGCTGTGCCAAATCTCGACTGATTTATGGTCCCTTGGAGACCATAACCAGCTGGAGTAAGTTACAGTAGCCCCCTAGGTTGTTCTTGTTTACACCCAGGCTGTGGCTTTGGCAGCTTCAGAATCAGATGCCTGGAACTGGCTCCTTTCCCCTTTGCTGTATCAAGATGATCTTGATGCAACATAAAATCTGGGCCAGAATTAAATAAGGGAGGGAAAAATGCCTTCTGAGATTGTGTTCCATGCTACCAAATTATATTTTTTTAATATGAAATTAACCAGGGTCTTCACCAAAATTGTATCTAAGCTTTACAAAAGGATATAGTTTATCATCGTTATGTATTGCCAGCAGCCATTACCTAAGCTTAACATTCTGGACATTTTTAAAATACAGTCAAGTTGTAAGCAAAGAAGGATAAGCTAGGAAGGTGTGTTGTCTCTTGCATGGAGTTATGTTTGCACCAAATGTGTGCACCAAATTTAAGTGTGTATATATAAAGGATGCTATTATCACAAAAGATGATAGCAGTGATTCTGATAAGAAATCATGCATTTAGCTGACCAACTTTTCTTTCCTTTAAAAGACTGCAGACACTTCATTCTCTTCATCTGCTCTTCTCTCTTCCTCTGCACTTTCTTCCTCTGCTGTCACAATACAACCACCTCCTAGATTTACACGCAGGGTCAGAATGCCCCAGGTAACCATTATTGCTGATAATTATTCAATGGCTTGGAACTGTTTCCATGCTATTGTCATTAGTTTGTTATGTGGTTGCTTGTCCATATGTTGATTTCACAGGTGAAGTACATCTGCTGACTTTAATATGGTGAGCCTGTTAAAGGGTCATTTAAAGTTAGTTCCAGACACCGTGGAAATGATGGAATATGCGGGGTGGGTGAAATCTTCAGTGGCTGTATGTCAGTGTAGCTTTGTTGAAGTCAATGGAACTAAGATGATTTACACCAGCTGAGGATCTGGCCCTAAATTCCTCCGAAGTGTTAGCTTAAGACATATTTGATCCTGTCAGATCCTGAGTGCCTATAGCTATGGTGAACTTCAGTTGGAATTGCTGTGGTCAGTCCCTGGAGGGATCAGTAGCCTAATTAGTAAGAGCAGTGGTGGATTACCACATGGGCCAATGGGGCCCTTGCCCAGGAACCCCAGCCAATTTATGGGCCCCCTCAGGAGCGCCGGAACTCTGGCCTTGCCCCCGGCTCTTCCCCTCCCCCCTGAGGCTCCACCCCTGGCCAGTTGTGGTAGATAGGGTGCCCAAATTCCCCCCCTCTATAGCCCCCACATGGAGCCCTCTTCCCCTGCTCCCCCCTACTGAGTCTCCTCCCCTCACCCCAGACTTCCTCCCATCACCCGGGCTCTCCCCATTGTTCTCCTGGAGACTTGGGTCTCAGATTCCCCCCGCAGGTCCCCAAACTTGCTACCCTGGGTTTGCTGGAAGCTGTGATCTCCATCAGCAACCACAGTCTGCCTCTTTGTGGCAGTGCTCAGCCATGCCCTGGCACCGGCACCTCATCTGGGCACAAGGTGCTCATGCAGGGGATGAGGACAAGCAGCATCTGGGCTGGGAGGAGCCTTTGCAAGGGCTTTCCTTTCTCCTTCCCTGCTCGGTATTCTCTGTCAGGGGCTCAAGCTCCCTCCCGGTGCCACCACTGAGCAGGACTTTGCGGCTCCCCATGACAGCACCGGCAAACGGTGACTCACTGCACAGCTCTGTTCTGGTGTGTGACTGTCAAACCCACCTCACAGGGTCCTGTACTCACTCATCGTCTCAGTGACACAAATGCCTCAAACTCCCCAGGAGCTGGGAGTCGTGCTAAGGTTTTCCCAGCCTCGTAGCAGCACCAGCAGGAATGATTCGATAGGCCACATCCTGACCTCTGTGTAGTCCCCACACCAACTGTCCCGTCACCTTCAGGTCACACCCTCAGGTGACCCATATGCAGCCACATCTCCCTGTTCCCTATCACCTTCGGGTCCTGCCCCCAGGTGAGCCCCACACAGCCCTAACCCCATTGCCTTCATTAGATTGCCCATGTGTAACCAAGAGCACTTGGTCTGCTGGTGATGTGTGAGCCAGACTAGCTTCTGGTTCCCTCTCCCATCACGGGGCTGAGTCTATGGGGTTCACAGGAGGCTTTGTTTTCCTGCGAGGCAGCAGCTCTGACTGTTACCTGTGAGGGGCATTCTGTGCAGTGCAAAGGGGCTGTTCTGCTAGAGGTACTTCTTGCTGCTAACTGCAACTGGTAATGGAGATGACCTCTGTCCCCTCCTTTCTGTGATGCCAGGCTTTTGGGACCATGGCCCCGGTAGCTCCATATTCCCTCTCAGCAGCTCAACAAGTGTGAGGAGCCACTTGGGTTTCAGCATTTCCCGACTCTGGGAGTGCTTTTGTGGGGCTGGGAGATTGACTCCTGGGTGGGGGAGTTGTCTAGCTTGCTACCTTAGGGGTTTGTCCTGCTGTCCATCACTGCGGTATCTGAGCATCTTCCACATACGCTCAATAGCAATAAGGAAGTCCCTAGTGACAGGCAGCCTAAGTAGGGAGTTAGGTAACAGGCAGGCCCCACTGGCACCCTCACAGGTGGGGACATCAAAGCAGGCATTCTGTAACTGATCAGTGGACTCCCTATGCCTCATGAACCCATCCTGGGCCCTGCATAGCAGCAAAGAGATGGGGAGTACACACCCTGAGGGACTGGCCCACGGTTTGAGAGGGCTGAAGATATAGGAACTAATGATATTGGTTAAGGGACCCTAGTGAAGAGAGTCTGTACAGAAGAGGAAAATAAATAAAACACACTAAAAATAATGGGCAGCAAGCCCAGGGTCACTTGTTCCTGGGGTGGGGCCTTGAGGGAATCCAGGGGATCTGGTTTGATAGGGAACTCTAACAAAGCTATTTATAAAAACATACCTGATTTGGGACCCACCTGTTAAGCTTGGTAACTACAAGAGTCCCTCTCACTACCCTCCTAGCATCCATCACGTTCACTTGTGTTGGCTTTTAAGAATGTTTGGCGGTCTTTGGAGTAGAGGCCATCGTTTATTCTGTGTTCGTGATGTCTGTGTAGTCTCATGACATGAAGCCTTGATCTTGATTTAAGCAAGGGACCCGCAGTGTTAAACCCCTCCAGAGCCAGAGAAGGAGAGATACTGAGATTGTGGATCACTTAAGAGCTGCCCAGGGAGCCCGGGTCACTGTGGCATAGGCGCCGACTCCATGGGTGCTCCAGCTGGAGGGAAAAAAATTAGTGGGTGCTTTGTAACCACCAGCCAGCCCCCACTCCCCAAACCCCCCAAGTGCCTCCCACCCGCTGCAATCAGCTATTCCGCAGCATGCAGGAGGCGCTATGGGGAGAGGGAGGAGCGGGGACGGGGAGCACTTGGGGAGGGGGTGGAACTGGGGGGGAAGAAGCGGGGTGGCGGTGAAGCAGGGGCAGGAAGAGGCGGGGGTGGGGGCTTGGGGGAAGAGGGTGGGGCCTGGGGCAAAGCAGGGGGTTGAGTACCCCCAGAAGCTGGAAGAAGCTGGCGCCTGTGAGCTGTGGGGAGCCCCAGACCCTCTACCTGCCCTGGGCAGGGGGCCAGCCTGCCCAAGAGTAACCCCCAGTCCATGTCCCTGCTCCCCAGGGTGCGCCACCCAGGGTAGGTGGCCGAGGCTCCCTGGGAAGCTATTACTACAGTCTGGCTCCCACTTCCAGCCTGGCCAGGGCCTTGGGGGGGGAAGAGGAGGAGCAGGGGGTGGGGCCATGTGGCTCAGTGTGGGGGGCTAAAATGTTCTTTGTGCCCAGGACCCCAGTAAATTTTAATCCGTGTCTAAAGTAAGAGGGATGTAATGTATCAAGAAGATGGTTCTGCAGAGGTTGTTTTTTATTTGCTTCCAAAAGTTACTAACCACCTTTTTCTGGTATGGGCCAATAAAGATGGGCTCAGGCTGCAGCGTTCAAATCTGGAGTGGGAACACCTAAAGGTGTTAGGACCTGTTAGGACTTGGAGTTCTGGCTCAGCACATTGGAAAGGTAGGGGGCCCTTGTAAACTTCAGGATCAGATTTCAAGTGGCCCAAAATTAGGGGCATGGGGTTTGTACATGTTTGCATCCAGAGTTTTGGATCTGACTCACATCTGTAGGACAGTGGGTGGCTAATTCTGTGATTATTGGCTTGATTGCTTTGTGTTGAGGGGAGAGTGTTTCTGGCATAGCTGCTAATGTCCAGCCTGGTGTTTCAGCTGGTTCTGTGGAACCCACGAACACCCAAATTCCCTACAAACACTACCAAAGGAGCCAGTGTTAATACTGTTGTAACAGAAACAACTCAGTGTCAGCACTGAACTGCTGATACCCCCTCCTCTCTATTTCCCCAAAAGGAGTAAGAGGTATTCTAGTCTGTTTACACATCAGTATACTTCCAGCTCAGTTCCACTGGCTGGCAATATATGAAGGAGAAAGCACACACTTTGCAAAGGCTAGTGTGGGGTGCTGGTTGTTTTCACCAGTAAAGTGTGCCAATTTGTTCCGGAATTCGTGGATGGAGGATGAATCTGGATACCTGTTGCCATTTTTAGTCATTTCCCTGATCATCAGCTGCTCTCTGAGGGTGAAGTATGGAGTTAAGCCTGCGATTTGCCCTTTGCTCACCTCTGTCCCCATTTCCCCTAGGGACAACGGCTTTGAATGGGCAAATGTTCATTGAACAGCCACCTTCCCAGTCCCATGCCCCAGAATTTACCATTTTGATTGAGATTCCAAGTACCTGACCCCAAGGGTGGGTTTGTTTCTAGTTCAGATTTAAAAAAATCAAAATTTGCAATTTACTTGTGGGTTTGTTTTCTCCTAGCATTTAATTCACTCATCCCTACTGGGAGGTAGGGGTGTGTGTGTGTGTGTGTGTGTGTGTGTGTGTGTGTGTGTGTGTGTGTGTGTGTGTGTGTGTGTGTGTGTGTGTGTGTGTGTG